ACACACACAGAAAAGCTGACAAAACAGAGAGGCAGCCTGCTTATTAAAGGTAATTGAATGCAAAGACTACACAGTACCACAAAATAAATCACTACACTTTGTCCAAACAGAAAAAGCAAAACTTTGGAAATTGATGTTTTAAACACTCTTGTTTTCCATTGTGGTATTCATTAAGGTTTATATGGATTTATCAGAATGCAATTCTGTTTGCAGAGGTTACTTTCAACTTCAGTGATGCTTGACAACCTTACTAATTAATCAGAAAGAAATCTCGAAGTTAATTTATTAAATTGAATCTGCTGTATCTGCCATCAACCAGAAGTAGGATGGAACAAATCAGACAAACAAAGTGCTGATAAAAAAAATACATTATCTTAATTACTTCAATATACCATCACTAGGCAGGTGAAAGAATCCTGTAAAGGAGTGATTTTCCCCTAGTAGTGTCAGGAAACTGTTAATCATAACTCTCATACATTATTGCAATTCTCTACAGTTTCAAGACTTACTGCATGTTCTGCAAACCACAGAGTTAAAAATATATTGAATATTCTATTGAATATTACAAAGAAAATGAGCCATACCTGCTGACAATTACAATTCCTACTGAAGCTGTAACTGAAAATAAAAAACAAAATGTTTGGCACTGAAGCTTTGCTTCAATTTTCAGAGTTACCACTGAGGGGAAACTGAAGACTGAACTTGGGTTTTGTTAACAATTTGGAAACACTGACAATACAAAGGTGGCATGCATGGCAGTGTTCAACAAATGCAAACACACACATGCTGGCATTGAGGTTTGTATTTCTGGGACAAAAAGATATTCTTCAACAATAATTTTCTTCCTTCTACGTCACTCATCTGCCTTGAACAGTCCCAAACCTGTCTATATTCACTCAAATGGAGTGAACCATCCACAGACAACACACTGCCACTGCTGAGGAGAGTCCTGTGAGTGCAGGTCCCAGCTCTTCCCAAAGGCACAGCTTGTTAGAGCTGTACCTACACAACCAAACCAAAGCATTCTGCACAAAAGCCACGTGGACATGTCCCCAGCTGAATGATCCTGCTCCCTCCCCCTGGGACACTCCTTGGCCAGAGCATGAATCTGCTCCAAACTCTCCCATCTGTGGTCTGCAGGCTCATACAACCCAAAGCAATACTGGTAAGGATGAAGCACTCAGAACCCTAAGCCTAACACAGTTTAAGTGCAGCTGTAAAACTAGATCATTGCTTATTTTGGGAACAGCAGAGGAAAGGTGTCTGAAACAAAGCTGTCAGTCAGTGCAGAAGAGCAGCAGGAGATGGAGAGAGAAAAGGAAAAAGGTACAAAGACACAGATGACAAGGGAGGAAGAGAAGGGGGAAAAGGAAAGAATAATCCAAAATGAGATTAGTCTTAAGAGCTGTGCATGTTTTCTAGCAGCAAAAAAGACAAGAGGCTACCAAGCAAACAGTAACCACTTCTTGCACTGCTGGCTATAGGTAAAGTCCAGCCCTGTTCTCTCCCACGAGCCCTGCACAGGACACTGCTGACAGAACTGCTGCAGCCAGAGGAAAGAGAGAGGCTCAAACAGCCCCACCACTTCCCAGCAGCATGTACCCCATCATCTGGCTCCCACTGGGCAGGAAATGCCACATGCAAAGGTATCTTTATGTGCTGCAATTAACCCTAAGCAATTGCTATACATCATTTCTCATGCTCAAGCCAGATGTGAGCTCCATCCCTGTCACTCCAGTGGGCAACATTTTTGCACTGTATTTTTTCTGAAAACATAACACAAATATTTAATAATTGGCTTTCCAGATTTCTGCCATGGGGCATTTTCTTTGGCTGAAGAAGGCTCCAGAGATCATTTAGTTAACCATGCACATGGATGGAGTTTCTCAGCTGCAGCAGATGAAGCAATGAAGCTGGAAAGAACAAACTCTTAACAACTAAATTATAAATTAACAAGAAGACCTAAGGAGTAAATATTTAGAAGAGCTCACTGAAGCCTTAAGGATAGCATCATGACTAATTATGCCAGTGATCATTTAAACATGGAGTTAGGAAAGATCAGAAACAAGAGAAAAATAAATCTCACCCATTGCACACATAAATGCAGATTAATGCCATATGACTAGCTACTACATGAATATACAATGCACTTATTAAAATGTTAATACAGCAGTCACAGACAATCTGATTTTCATTTTTAAATAGTCAGCTGCAGAAACGTAGAACTGCAATTCTTCTTCTCTGACTTCATAATTCAGAAGTAAAAGGTGATTTGTTCAGAGTATAAAAAATATCAGAGAAGTTAAAGGGTGGAATTTGGTAATTGTAAGCAGCAATAGAAAACTAAATTCAATGACCAAAATCAGTACATTGTAATGACAGAACAAGTTCTTAAATACAAGCCAAAAACACCCCAAACAAATAGAAAAGCAAATAAACATTGAAAAACTAAAATAATAAAATTGTTACTTCAGTGTAGAGAATTTTTTTTCAGTTGCATTGTGTGCCCAAATTTCAGTTTGCAACTATGAAAGTACTGTCAGTTAGTCATAAAAGAATAACAAATTGTTTATAACAGACACATAAAGTAATTATTTAAATAACTCAAAAGGTTTATTTAAGCTAATCACAATAGTTATACAATTTCTCATCATTTGTTTCAAAAAGGAACTCCTACCACACCTTGTTTGTTGTTATTCAGGACAGCAGAACTGCCAGAGGGTGCAGTGAGAGCTGAAGAGAAGGTAATTAACACAAAAAGGAAAAGCCACAGAGGAAACTCGAGCCAAAATCTCAGCCCCCTGAGTCTGCCCGACAGCAGAGAATGCCAGTGGTGCCAGACAGACATCTCCACTGCACAGGCACACAGAACACAGGGGATCCAGCAATTTGATGTTTCAGCACCAGTAACAGGTCAGGGGTTAGAGCCGGTCAGTGGAGAGAGATCCCTCTCCAACCTCTCACTTCCACTGGTTAATATTGAGAACAAAAATTCTGTTAATTTTTTTAATTGTTAATAGGATGACAGCCATCACTGACTATAATTTCAGACCACTGTACCAAGCCTCAGATATAAAATAAGGTTAATAAATATTTATTTTGTACAGGTTTTAGAGGGACTTGAAAACCAAGTCTGTTTCAAACGGCAGCAATGAAAGAGACATGAAGATGTAAATATTATAACACAGTTTTGCCTTTGTAGTTCCACACCAGATTATATGTCCTTTTTCTGAGCAGAAAGGAAGTAAGGCAAATATCTCTGCCATTCAACAGTGTGGGTGTAGAGCTGTCCTGATTTCAGCTGGAATAGAGGCAATTTTCTTCCTAGCAGCTGGTGCAGTGCTGCATTTTGGAGTTATGAGAATAATGCTGACAGCACAGTGACACCTTGGCTGGTGCTGAGCAGCGCTCACCTGCACTCAGGGACTTGCAGATTCTCGTGCTCTGGCAGTGAGCAGGTGCACAAGGAGCTGAGAGGGAGCACAGCCAGGACAGCGGACCCCAACTGGCCAAGGGATCTTCCACACCCAGGAACGTCCTGCCCAGTACATGAACTGGGAGGAGCTGGCTGTGAGCAGCTGATAGCTGCTTGGGGACTGGCTGGGCATCGGTCAGTGGGCAATGAGCAATTTTACTGTGCATCACTTCTTTTTCTTAGGTTTTACTCCTCCTTTCTTTCCTTTTCATTGTTATTATTGTTGTTGTAATTATTTTGTATTATTTTACTTTATTTCAATTATGAACCTGTTCTTATCTGAACCCATGAGTTTCTCTTCTCCATCCCAGTGCGGGAGGGAGGGAGTGGCTGTGCAGAACTGAGCTGCTGGCTGGAGTTAAACCAAAACGAGGGTATTTCTGAAACACTGGCTCTTTTGCAATTACCCTAAGTCATGAAATGTTGCACTGAACTATTTTATTTTGAAATGATCTTTTACCTGGGTATTGTGGATCACTGTATTCAGATGTGCACGTGACAAATATTTCATCCTTTCTAGCTATCATCAAGATACTTAAATGAACAGATAGCTGATTTCAAACATGAAGATTTTATAATTTTTAACCCATTCTCCCCTTGCCTCCCTCACTTGCAGTATAGCTCAAGGGCCATCACAAATAATCCAGAGACCTTTCAGTGTTTCACTTGATTAATTTGATGGTGAGCTGTATTGCCAACAAGGAAAACTATACCAACAGCTTGAAGCCAACCAGTGAGGATACCAGGGAGCATCTTGTTAATCGAAGACCACACAGCAGCCCAAAAGACCTTTATCCTAGAAACGAAATATTTCAAAAGCTCCCCAAACTGCAGGCTCCTGGGGCAAAGGGGAAGAAGTTTCTGATAACCACTGCCCTTGGGTGACAAGTTCATTTTGATGCAACATCTAACAAAATGAGGATTTCCTGCACAGCTGTTGCAGTGTCCTTAGAGACTCAGTTCTCAGGCACTCTTTGCAATCGTCCCTCTGCTCCCTCTTAATTCCAGTCAACAACAGCCACAGGCAGATTACGTAGCTGGGACATTACTGACATGACCAGGAGCCTATAATAGCACTCCTAAGCCCAGTGATTTCTCTTCTCTCGTCAGTATCACACACAAACACAAAACAGCTAAGAACCTGGCTTCTCTTTAATATTTTCTTTTATTTTCTCTTTAATAATCCATTACATCCATTAAAAAGTATCTCCTTACTTTGCTAGTCAAATTTTAAAAAACACTATCATATCATATAGCACAGGGCTAATTTTAGACCTAAATACTGACAAGATCTGTGGTAATTCCTGCTAAGTGTCAGTGGACATGATCTCCACAGCATTTATAAAGCTGTACTGTTCACTAACTTAGGCAACTTTTCCCCTTGTGAAATGTACTAAAACACCAGATAAAAGACAGTTATTACAAAATATTTCAGAAGCTATAAATTAAAGAGAAGAGCATCAGCCAGAAACTTTGTTTTATTCCTTTCAGAAAAACAGAGACTTCAAGACTCTGGTCTACAAACCTGGCCATCTGCTTGTATGCTTCTTCAGCCACTGCAAAGATATGTGGATCCATATCCCCCATATTTTGGCCACTGTAGGCATTGATGATATCTTCGCCATAGATAGGCAGCTGTTCATAAGGATTTATGGCCACTAGAACAATACCTACAAAGGAAATTAAACAAAAGGAATTATTAATAGTTGTTTACTGTTGTTCTAGTCTTTCGAAAAATGTTAAAGAATAAGGATCTGATATTACTGACTTCAACAGATATTTATTCTGGATATAGTTCAGCACACACAAAGTACCACGAGTTTACTTCTACCCTGCTTTGGTAAACACATCAGGAACAGCTTTTTACCTTTCTTTCCATCTGCCTTTTCTAAAGCTAGTATGCACAGTCCAAAAAGAGTCAGAATGTACAGACTTGAAATACTGTAAACCAATGAATGTGCATTGTACTTCCCTGTGTTTTACTCTGAATTACCAATGATACTGTAATTTGTGAAGTATGAACTACTGAGTGGTCTCACTGAATGCCAGTTTGGGTATGTGCAGTGTGTGACCCTTCAGCTGTTGTGAAAGAATAACATCCTCACTTTTTATAATAAGCAACAATGTACAGACAGAGTGTAATTTGGATTCCAGGGCACCTCTGCAAATCAGGCAGGACAACCTCCTGGTCAAAGGCATAAAAAAACCCAAACAGTAGACATATTTCATAGGGTTGACACAGAGCAGCACCCAGTCATGTCAGGAAATTTTGCAATTATAGCCCTAGAAGGCATCAGAACACCCTCATCTGATACATCTGAGCATGTACTTACACCTCCCATTTTCTAGTTTTCCCCTACCAATTAAACACATATCTAGTTTTTTTAATAACACTCATCACTACAGCACTTTTGAATTCATGCCATTCTTTTACTCACCCTGCACAGGAAAACTTAAGTCTTACTTATACAAACTTCCTTTCCACAAATAGTGAGACCTCAAATGTTTTTGGGACAATTCTCTTTTTCATGAGAAACGAGGAATGCTCTACCCACAGGGATAATCTGACAAAGATTCCTTATAACTTTCTCTCCTGCAGCAGTTACAACAGGTAGGGAAAGTTAATTTGCTCTGATCAGTGAGACCCTGTGAGACCCAGCTGTGACAGGCACACTGTGCCCTCTTGACATGGCAAGTCCTCCTCACTTGACAAGGTGGTAAGAAGGGAAAAGGACCCCTCTAATTTTAACTGTGGACATTTTAAAAGCAGAATTTCTTCCTATGTATATGTATTTTGGTGCTGAAATGTGCCAGTGCAGTTGCAGATGACTGCACAGTGACTGCACCAAGCATGCTTGGACAATCCATCCCTGAAGAACCTGCCCCAAAAGCGTTTCCATAGCACTCAACTTGCTTCTAAATTTACTCAGAAATTCACTCTTACACACACAGACTTCCTCAGTGCTGATCCCAGCCCTCTGCTCTGTGCAGATTACAGTGTCGTGATGTCTATCTAAGAAATTTTCCATGGAAAAGCTGAGAGAAGGGAAATGAAAGCATCTACAGTCTGGCACTGCTGCTGGGAGCATCAACCAATTTTTAAGCTCTTTTATGCATCTATACATCAAGCATAATCCATAGCAAAAACATTAAACAAGAGAATACATTTTAGGGAGAGATCTGAGAGACCTTCTTGATCTATTTCCTCAAATTCACAGCAAGTTTTATGTCTCGACACGCCCATGTGAGGAGAGCCGGTGTTTTTCCATCAGCCATGACTTCACTGAAATGACTCAGGAGCTCCAGTGAAAAATCTCTACAAACATTTATGCCAAGTTCTAATGCTGTAATGATGAACCAAAAAATAAGAGTGGGGGTTAGGGACAGGAAGCCACCTCAGTACTACAAGACTCGAGGAATATTTTGCTTGCCAATTTTTAACATCTGCCCTTAGAAAAAGCAGTAAAAAGTGAAATACAGTGCACCACCGAGCTGAGCCTCTCAGGCTTGCAAGTCTCATCAAAGAGATATTACAAAAATCTGTGTGAGACTTCCGACAATTCCCTCCTGCTTTTGGTTACACTGGCAAAAATAAACCCTTGAATTGGGAACAAGCAGCCTCGTGACAAGTCCCCAGCATATTAAAACACTTAACTTCAGTAGCCATCTGTAAAATCTACAAGCAGCTACCATCTGGAAATAACCAAAACAAGTGAGTTTGGAATTATTTGCTTTCTGTAGAACTTTGAAATCAGTCTGCCTCACAGGGCTATAATCCAGATTAATTTACATATAACTTCTCTTTATCTCTGCTAAATCATATTGCTATTTTAAGAAATACGGCCTTTCCTAAATCAGATTCATGTGTGTTTTTGTTCTTACAACCACACTAATTTGAACTCTGGCTACTCTTTATGCCATTCATCTTTATACATGCCCAAAATAAACTTATCTAATCCTTCTACTTTGAGCATACTCGTCCATCTGTGGCTAAATTGGACATAAATGTCATTTATTAATTTAAAGTTTTCTCTCCTGCACAGCAGGCAGTACTTTTTACTAATCTGAACTAATCACCAAGACTCACTGAGTTTTCATCACAGCCGTAGCAGTTTTTCCATGTAAGCATTCAAATTTTCCTTTGTAACTTTTCAACTTCCTTCATTAATTCATCATTTCATGTTTCCAACAGTGAAGCAAAGTTATAAATCACCTCTGAATTGCTGGTGAAAGGCTGACTTCAAATTAGGAAACCAGGAAGTTTTCTGTTTAAAAGTTTGAATTACTTCAAAGTGAAATTTTAAAGAATTTAATATCCATTTCATATATCACACTAAGACAGCATGCAGAATTAATTTTTAGGGCCCTGGACAACTATTCATCCACGCATTCCTGTTCTAGTTCTACTGTTGAGAATCTTGTTACCATGATTCTCTTGATGGATTGAAGTGGTTTTAGTCTCCTTTGGGCTGCATAAAACTGGGTTAGCTCAAAGCACCTTCACAGGCTATTTTAACTAACCTGGCTCATGTGAGAGTCACATCAGGAGGCAAATGCAGCCCCCCTGAGGCCAAGCTCCAAGGCAATAATCATTGCAGAGGGGAAGTAACCTGCAGCAGGATGGGAACTAATGGAGAAGTCAGAAAGGTGGATGTCTGTGGCCAAAGGATCAGGTTTTTAGAGGCTGACGTGCCAACTCTATTTGGCTCAGCCTGTAACACAACATACCCCTGCCTCCATCCCAAGTGAATAAATCACTGCACACCACTCCTCAGCAGCGCTGAACCTCGACACCTCCTTCTCTCTGAGCACCAGGACCCCCCACGCTACGGCAGCTACAAGCTGCTCCTACAAGCAGCTTCAGGGTCTTGTTGGAAGCAAACCAGCCAAAGCAGCCCCACCATCCCAGGCCCCTTGGCAGACCCAGCCATGGAGAGCTAAAGGCCTCCCAACCCCATGAGAAATGATAAAACCAGCCAAAACCACAATTACAGCTGCACTGGGGAATACTTGAAACGAGCCTTTTTCATGTTTTCCCAAACACAGCAAAACACAACCAGCAGACAACACATTCCTTTGGAAAGTCTCTTAAATGCTGCTCAACACAAAGCCTGTCTGCAAGCAGCCGGGGCACAGTCTGGACAGGCTTGTGGGAAGGGCTATGGCAGTGTAAGGAGACCACAAAATTGAGACTGAAAACCCCTTACAAGCTCAGGCCATGAGACTCCACCTGCACAAAAGCCCTTTCACACAAGAGCTTTGCCATAGGGGCACTTGGGAAAGAAACACAGATCATGTCCATACCGGGGGAACTGAGCTGGCTTCCCAGTGCTGGGACCCTCAGCAGGGGCTGCCCAGAGAGGCATCACTGGAGATACTCAAATACCCACTTAAACTGGGCCAAGCCCTGAGCAACCTGATCTAACAAGTCAAGACTTGTTTTAAGTAGGAAACTTCACTGAAGACTTCCAGAGATCTCTTCCAACCCAAGCTGTTCTGTGCTCTGACTGCAGGGATGGATGAGATGTGGTGTGAATCATCACCCACTCCTATGGGAGCGAAGTCTGGCTGCGAGCAGGGGGTGGCAAAGTCTGATCCAGTCCCCTGTGGTCTGGTCACTGCTGAGAGCAGGACTGGGAACAGATGTGCTCTGCCAAGCATCTGCAGATTAGGAGCAGCCAGCGTGAGCAAAGTGTGGCAGGATGTTAATGCCTCCTTCTGTCCATCACAACATGTTTAATGTGCTGCTTGTCTTTTGAAAAGTTATGTTAAAAGCTAACAGTGAATTCTGACTAAACACTGAGATTTAAAAGAAACATATGCACACATAGAAAAAAAGCCCAGAAGCATCAAATCTAAATTTTAAGCCTAAACTACCTCACAATGTTTATTTTTAAAACAGACCATTCAGTTGCAATTTTGCACTTATGATAAAGTGATTATTTAAGTAACTTTCCTCCATTCTGGCCATCTGAAAATACCACAGGCAATTACAAGTTTGGGTAACCTCTGCTGTGAGTTAAACGTTATTTTTAAAACCAAGATCGATTGTAACTGTGATAAGACAAGCACTGGCTCATGAACTGTTACAAATTCACTTCTGCAGCTGCCTGATTGGAAAAAAAATGATAAAGAAAATAAACTGATGTCTTCCAAAAGAGATGGAGGAGCTCACTGCAGAGGTAGGCAATAATAGGTGGGCAACAAATCCACCAAAGAGCAAGGCCAGTCTGTGAGCCTCTTCCCATCCACGCCAACCTGAGCAAGCCTGAGGAGAACACCAACCAGACAGGAATCCCACTGGGAAGCAAAAATGGCTGAACACACATTTTATAAACAGAGCCCATTGGGGAGCTAGAGGAACACAAAGTTAAGTCAATTTTCTCTGAACCTTAATATTCTCAAGTCTATTAATGACCACAAACATAGTGATTTCCCTAAGAATAGTCCAGCATGCCCTGTCACTATATGATTTTAAGTTAAAGGCAGACACATCACCAGACAACATTCCCTTTCCTGTCTAGGGCATTCTCTGTAAAGATGATGGTATGAAAAGACAGTACTTGCCACAATAGGTATAGATGAGTTTAGAGTCTATAAAGCGAACTTTGAGGTTGTGCAGGACAGCAGGCTCATGCAGATAACTGAGAGCTGTCAGGTCATTTTCACCCACGAGGATGTCAGGGTTCCGCAGGGGCGGGAGCTCCTTCGTCTTCGGATCGAGGCAATACTCGAGGTCCTGAAAATCAAACAGGCACTCTTAGAAGAGCTGGTGTTTAGGTTTCCTCACTCAGTACCTCCAACTGCTCTTCCCAGCAAAACATGCCCAAGGTAAAAGAACACAATGCAAGATGTCAATTTTCTGGGGATTTGAGTTAGCAGCTCTTTCTCCAAAAAATGTCATTTGAAATTTCCCAGAAGGGTTTTCTATATGTACAACAGGCAACTGTATAGAGATACCATCTTTTTAGACTATTACTTAAGCAAACCCCATGCTTTTGCTGCCATATTAGATAAACCAAAATATGCTATATCATAAATCTAACCAGATTTTCCCTATTGTTTTCCTCTTGAGTGGAACAGGCAGGGGAAGAAGATTCCCACCAATCTACAGCCAGCTTCATGCGCAGTGACACAGCATGGGAACGATGGCAGAACACAGTGGAGAATACAAACACTGAAAAAAATGCTACTTAGAACTTTTTTTGTATATAAATTCATCTCTAATATAGATGTTTTAATTGCATGTCTCTAGATCTAAAATCACTTTATTTACCTGCTATTTCCATTAGAAAAACCAGCTAAAATGATGTGAGCTGTACGTGGGCATGTCATCATTTCTCAACACAGCACACAGCATCTTCTTTGTAATGCCCTTAATCCTTGGCTTTTTTATCTTTATTAATTTTCTCCTGGTTATGCTCAACTTAAAAGTCACAGTTCTTCATCTGCAACACTGTTCTCCTAGCAACCCTGTCTCCCTGGAATAGCAAACCAGGGCTATATGTTTAATGGCATAAGTAGAAAAAGATGATGCAACTGAACATAATAGGCAGTGGATAAAAGCAACTGCTTTTTAATTTATTTTGAAAACAAGGCAAAATTGATTTTTGTAACTAAACAGTAGAATTTATCTGCAGAATGCAGATAAAAATGCTGCAGAATGTGAGTGGACAAAACCAGTTGCACACACCTAAATCCGCAGAGCTTCCTGCAATGGATACATCAGACTCTGGTTGAGAACAAGAACTATCAGCTTACAAACAATACATAAACTTACCTTGCCCTCCTCAAGTCGAAGCTGGAGGACTTTATCTCCAGGTTTATAATCTTTGAGAAGTTCTGCTGACTTCCAGACCTCCTCTGGATCAGGGATCCAAACCCTGGCATACTGCAATACAACAACAACAGCAAAACAGCAGTGAGCTTTGGGTGCACTACGGTTAAATCATCAAAATAAATGACACTAGAATTATTTTTTTTTCTTTTTAAATACATGTTTAACAGACAAACCCTTAAGCAAGAGGCAAGTTAATTAGTACATCTGAGGTGAATAATTTGTTCTATTGATAAATGGCTACACAAGCAGAATTTTATTGCCTACACAGAGAGAAAAAGGCATTTTCCATGCAGAAAGTATTCCAAGATAAATATTCAATGCTGAAAATCTACAAAGTAAAAAAAAAATCAGCATTTTCAGAAAGATCAAAAATTTGGCTATCCAAAAAATGACTTGGAGGAACTCTTTTGAGTAGGTTCTAAATGCATTTATAGCATAATATTATAGAGCCATTTTTGTCTTCTTTTCCCCCAAAGAGAATACTTCAGCCCATCTGTGTTAATTTAGGCAAAGCTGCCTGATCGGGTGTTAAAAGCTCTTTCCTTTGTAGTTACAAACAGAGCTAGTTTAAAATTGACTATATTCAGAATGCCAAAATAAAAAAAAAAACCTGAAAAAATTTGGTTGAAAAGGCCTCCAGATAAAAAAAAAACAAACAACAACAAACCAGATTCCCATTAATGGCCATTTTCATACAAACTTTATTGATAAAAGTGATCCAGCAAACATGTGATTTGTTTTCAAAACCAGCAAGAATATTCATATTTTCCAATGTGTGAAGATACAATTGTTAGCTCATGTTCAAGAATCAATTAAAGATGTATGGCAAGCAGTTACTGACACAGTCACACGTACATGCAAACACACACATATGAAAACATCTCTTGAGCAGAACAAGGAGAAGGCTGTGACACTTTGACATGTTAAAGCTCCTGAGCCAATGTTCTTGCAATGCCTACAGAGCACTGAGGTCACACCACACCCACCCCCTTGGCAAACAAAGCAGCTCCTTGGCTCTGGCTCTGCAAAACATTCTCAAGTCCACTAACTTATTTCAAAATAACTATAAAGTATTTGTCAAAGCATGACATTTGATGGCAGAGAAAACTGTATTTGCTCATACAGCTTCACCACCTTATCTTACACTACTTCTTTTTGTATAGTTTCCTCTGCCTCAAAGAATGCTGAAGGGGTTTTTTCTCCACTCATTAACCCAGTTTTCCCACTAAAATTACAAACTGCTTGTTTCTGCTGGGGATTTTCTGAAAGACTTCATTAAAAACTTCATATTGTTTCTTGTTGCAAGACAGGGCACAATAAACTGTGTTGAGCAGCAGTTTGGGGAATGGGACCCGTGAAGGAAGCCCCTGGTCCAGGAGAGGGAAGTGCACCTGGCCCAGCTGGAGGCTCAGTGCCTGCAATAATTATGAATTTCAGGCAGCAATTTGTTTCCCATACCCGTGATGATCCTTAGGAACACTGCACATGAGTAATTTACAACAGCCTGGACCAATGGCTGGTACCCCCAGCACACAGCACTGCCTTCATCCCGAGCTCCCAAAAAGCTTATGCCACACACATAAACCAAGTGCAAGGAGAAAGATAATGAAATAAATAAATAAAAACTCACTTTCATCATTCCCACTACACAATGTGCCATGCTCCCACACCTGGCCTTCCTCCATCATCACTGGGTGTTACTGCCAGCTCTAAGAATTGACTTTATACAAAGGCAAGAAGCTTTGCTCTTTGTAGTCAATCTGTGCTTGTGTGGCTTCTTTACTTCTTTGAGCTTTGTTAGCTTCATGTGTATTTGCTAGTGTTTTCAGTGCAAAAGTGCTGCATTACTTTATTATTATGTAGTCTTTTCCCCACTCCCCAAGAGATAAATTACTAGAGAAATTAAAGATGCCCAAAACAATTCTTCAGTATGTGCTCCTGCCAATCACAGGGCACTGCATGTGACAGCAGAGGAAAGCAGCAGCACAGGGTATGGTCTGGGCTCTTGCATTAGCTGTTTTCAGCCCTTCTATATCCCAAATTCACAAGGCAAAGAACTTTGAGGTGAAATGAAGGTCTGTGCTAACAAGTGTATGTACAATGAAAGCACAAACCCACAGAAACTCCGTAATAAGTCCAAAATAAACAGGACTTGACAGTGAGGTGCCATATTAAAGTCAAGTAGTATGCTAAGAGATAATGCTTTCTTCCCACTTGATTTGAAACAAAAGATACTCTGTAAAAGTTCATAAATAATAAACTCAAGATTTAATATAATAGCAATTTCAAATCAATTTCATGTCAAAATTTCAAATCCTAAAATCAGTAATTCATAAGATCCATATATCCAAACATAGCACAATACACCTGTTCTCAAAATTCTTTAAAAAAAACCCAAAAAACAAAAAACAAAATGCCATAACAAAAAGCTAAAAATCAAAACCCTGCCAGAAATCAGGGAAGTTTTTCCAGTTTAGCAAAAGATGCTCCAGCATCAGACACAGCTGAAGACTGAATGCATACCACACTTTGACCAGGTTCCATCCCCAAAATGCAGCAGAAGTTCCCCATCCCCAGTATTTCTGATATTCTGATTCCTTCCAAGAAACTAACAGAAAGCCAAGTAAATGTTAAAGAGGAAACCATTTAAATGTTGTCTAGCAAAAGGGATCAGCAGGCTGGTTTCCTTTAGGCTACACAAGGAAACTTTCCTGACCTAAGAAAGGCAGCAGCCTGAAAGACAAATGCTGATAACCTGAAGCAGCAAATGCTGTGTAGCAGTTTCTAACTGTGTGATTTATGGCAGCATGGAACAGGCATCTTTATCTATCCAGCTAAAACTGTACATTTTCTGCTGTCTAGAGAAGGGAAAGAGAAAGCAGAAAACAGATCACCATGGAAACTGAGCTACTACAGACAGCAGAACCTTCCATGACACAGCCCTACAGATATTAAAGCCATCCTATGAGCGCTAGGCTGTAGCTTTTCATCTCCAGCACCAGTGCCTAGCTTTAAACCCCTGCCAAAGAAAACACCTGGTAAAGGGAATGGGTAGGAGGAAAGAGAGAGATGTTCCTAATTTTAAGTACTGAATCATTTCACAACATTCTCACCTCATTAACTTAGCAAAATGGTTTGCAAAATCAGATTTTCACATTTTTATATAATCAGTTGATACTAAAATTCCATAGCCTTTACTGGTATCCAACCCTGTAGAGAAAAACCAATATTGGTGGAAACAGGACCAAGGGCCTCTCTTGGGACATATCTTACTCTGGTATTTGCTATCCATCCCTCTTTATTTACTAGCATATAAATTTTTTTATGACAACATTAGAATAAGGATAAAATAAGATAAACTTCTAGAGACAGTGATTTACAAATGAGCCTTCTAAAAAGGGAAGGAAATTCTAGTTTAAAAATGACTATGCTGTCTAAAAGTCTATCACTGAAATGACAATATAAATTACAGCAAGAATCAAATGAAATTTAGTTTAATCATCCTGACTGTGATCCATGAAAACATTACTCTTTTTGGTAGTTCAAGGCAAATTTTGAACCACCAAAATAAATGCTTAACCGAGGCTGGTTTGAAAGTCAGAATGAAAATAGAAGGGATATCGAGGAGATGTCCCGGAATTCAGAAGAAAAATAAATTATTAAATGCATAATGACAGGACTATTTCAGATCTCAGTTTCCTGCCTAGACTCTCTTCCAGCCTCAGCAGACCAACATAGAAAAAACAGCATCTCCAAAATCCCCTGAAGTGTGGAGTGCCATATTTTGTACTTTGTTCAAGGAAGGACAAGCTGGGCAATAGTTTATAGACATCTATAAAGCAACTCTGAAAGAGTTCACAGCAGAAAACAAACACAGAAGTTTTCACATCTTACCCATGGGTCAAAAGGTTGGCTGGATTACTACAATTTTACATAATAAGAAAATATAATAGAAAAATCACAGTATTCTGTCATACCTCGTGATTTCATCTTAGATCACATGAAGAAATCAGCAGACTATAACAATTATCTATCAAATGAGACCATATGACTCACAAAGCCTCTTGTCTGAGATATTAACCTCTTGAAGTACTAATTGACATTGCTGACAAAACAGAATTAGCAATGCAAGCGGCTCAGCAGTCTCGTCAGCAGGCAAATAGTTTTCTACTTCCATTGCACAATCACAAACACAGAAGAAGGAGATACAGCTATCTTCCCAGCTCAGCAGCTCTTCGGCTAAGAGCTGAAAGAGTTCATTAAATGATCTACATCCTAGAAGGAAAAAGGAAATTTCAACTGAGAGAAAACTGTCCCAAGTTTCTCATACCTACCCATACAAGTGAGCTAGTATGATTTTCACTCCAGCAGAGATCATCTCTTTTTTTATTTACAGACAGCCTCAAAAAACACAGTCTTTCACATGTGAACCATGAAAAGAAATATGAGAGACACTGCCCTCCTCCCTTTCAAGAATGACCTTGGGTCTGGGTAGGAATAAAGCAGCTCATTTATGTCTGGATCAAAGAGACACCATCAATTCTGGCAGCACTAGCTGAAGGAGGCAGTGAACAGCAACAGCTGGTAAAAGTCGAAGCCAAATCTCACCAAAATTATTCAATGTGAACTTGTTGCTGACTGAACATGGCCACCTGGAGAGAGCAGGCTGCATTGTCAGGCTGGGAAAAGAAGAGCTGCTGCCAGAAAGGCATAACAACAAAACAGAGCACAAAGTCATCAAAGTTCACGCTGCAGAAGTGTAGAACTGATCTTCGCAAAATGCAAAGTCATTACAAAAGGATTTCTGAGCTGTGGGACTTACTTGGCTGGGGTTGCTCTGAAAACACAATTTGATGCTATTAGAACAATTTCCTTTCAGCTTTACATTTTCCCCTATGCTTGGTTCACAGTGCCACCACCAAAGATAATAATACTGAGCCTAGAAATACTTGAAGCAGCAAAGTTTAGTTTTTGTAAGCTCTACACAAGCAGATCAACAGCCAGCTGAGCTGCAGGCAAACACAAGTCTTAACTTGACCGGTCTGGATCTC